ACTGTCCTCTATCCCAGCAGAACATATTAAACATCCCATAGCCTAACCTTAAACCTGGAAGGAGATCCTTTCAAAAAGGAGCCATCTACTTCATTCTCTGTCCTGGCAGCACCTTGTGGGCTTGTAGTTAACAAAGCAATGGCATGATCACACCTTGTTTTGGGCACCCCAGAATCTTCCTCTGCAGCTTCCAAGGAAGGGGGTTAGGAGAGAAGTGAAGAGTCCGGATGACAACATCCTCGTAAAAGGAAGCGCTGTGGAGTCTCTTTGCCTTCAAACTCCCATAATGAGTGTTTTGAAGATTAATGAGCAGGGAAGCACCAGAGCTACCCAGCAGTCAAATAAGAGATTAGTAACCTTTCTTAGATTCTCCAAAGTAACCCTCACTGCAGTTTTGCACACTATTTTGAGTCAATGAAATTATTCCTTGCTTCTCCTCTTGAGCAAGAGACACTGGCAGGAGAAGAGAAGCGAATTCACGTAAAGAACTACATGGCAGCGCTATGAACCAGCACATAAAGGTCTAGTGTTTGTGTTTGGGCTGAAAAGGAAAGACTAAGATACATGTTTATGGGGGAATGACATTCAACTAGAAAATGTAACTCATCAGCTAGTTCAGCTAGTCCTTTCAGACTTCTCCTCAGCATGGCCCTGCACCCTGTGCTCCAACAGGGCTGCCTCACTTTGTGTGGCACAGAGCCAGCTCACAGCTGCAATCAGATCAGAGCTGGTAATGCCTCCTGGAAAAGCGAGCCCAGCGCAGAGCAACGTGAGCAACTCCACGCAGAGCCATCACGGGTCTGGAGGAGCTAATTACTTTGCACGCTGTGCCTAACGAACGAGGCTATTCTGCTTTCAGGGCTGAGCCAGCTTTAGAAGCAATGTATCAGCCTTTGCAGAGAGCTGCAGTAGAGGTAAGAGGCTCCCCTGACTGCTGCAGCTCAGGACAGCACAGCAGCATTCACACGGGTCTGCGTATAGGCTGACAATCCCCGCCAGGCACAGCATCGTTCTAGATGGAGTTTGTGCACCTGTGACTCAGTTTGTAACTTCAAACTGAAAAACTACCTGGGAACAGAGCTGTCTGTACTCCCCTCCCAACTTGTTATGAAACAACGCCACTCTGTTAGGAGGCATCAGCTTACTTGTGAGGAAGACTATGTAGCTCCATGGAACGTTTCTGGAGAAGAAATTCCCTCCTGCAAGACACAAGAACAACTTTTTCTAGCCTTCTCTTCAATCAACCCACCACATAGTCAAGAAACTAGCTGCAATGTTTCCTACCTTGCAGCATGAAGGTTTCAACAAGAATCCAAATTCCATTCACAGCCACCACAGTATCTGGAAAATGAAGTAAAAACCCATAGCAAACACACTCCTAGATCAGAGGACATTGTTTTCCTAACCTACCAAATAGAGTACAACATAGGGCAAGTAACAAAGTCAGCGTTTGGAACGTACTTCCAATTCGTCTAAAGGCTTGAACTCATAATTTGGGAGACCCTCTAAACTTCTGAATTTTCCCAGCCTGTGAAAGAGATACGGACCTTTGTCTCCAGAATCGTGTGGGGAGGGAGGAGATGGACGCAAAACCACCACCTTTTTTTTTTTTCTTTTCTCTTTTAAACCAATAATCATCTTATACTCTGCCATGTTATTACACATGTATTTCAGCTTCTTCCTAGTTCTGGAGCAGGCTCTTGAGAGCCACTAGGTCCCCAACAGCGTAAAACAAATGAAGCAGGTTCCCTAAAGTGCAAGATAAAACTCATATCAGCTTCGATCTCCCACTGCTCCCCCATATTCATATCCAGAGAATCAAATATGCAGGACCGCTCTTTTCACCCAGGTCTTTTCAATCCCTTCATTCACTTTAATTTATCATCCTAATTTACAGAAAACCTCTCCTTCAGCATTCAAAGAAAACCAAATTACTGAGTAGGAAGAGTTCCCTTAGAACACAGCAACTAGCACAAGTAACCACTCTTTCTCCTCTGGAGAAGAGAAGCACAGAATCATTCTCATAGGCAGTACAGTTGCCAAGCAATCCCTCCAGTAACGAAGATGCTTGCACCTTCTCAAGTGCAGACAGCACAAAAAGGTTGACTGGCAAGGCAGTTCCTTACCCAGCACCCTTCAGTTGCAAGATGAAAAACCTCAAGGCTCGTGAAAGCTAACCACCCTATTCACTGCACCAAGCTGATTCCTAAAGAATCAGATCCACAAGTGTGTCGTGAAGCACTGAACCAATGAGCCTCTCCAGAAGATTCAACCATGGCAAGAACTGAGAATTCAAACTGCAGCAGTAGTTGGTACCAAGGGTTTCCTCCCTCTCCAGCAAACCCCCTCAAATTTGTATGTGGGCCATGGCTCAGACCAAAGACCAGGTCCCACCACACCGAGTTCTTGTGCAGGTGGTTCTTGCCTAGCACAGACATAACATCCCTGACCCATGTGATGAAGGGAGCTTGGCAGAAGACGGTTCGTTTCTCCTACTTACACATGGTGTACTGGAATACTCGCGACTTCACAAGGATGTTGATGCCTGTGGGAAGGAAAACACAGCGAAACAAATGTTTACCAAGTCCTTTATACTTCACGCACAGCTTCCTCTATCTTCTCCCTAGAGACTTTTTTAATAGCAATTCTCTGCACAAAAACTAAGTAGTTTAGAGGATTATTAACTTTTACCTCTTGGGAGCAAGTTCAAATCTTCCCCTAGAACTCCAGTGGGAATGAACTAGCTCTCCTTATCCCCCCAGATGCCTTTTCTCTGTCCACATCACAAAAAATACTACACAGATAAATACAGCTGATGAGGCACTGTCCACGTCTGGGACAATGGCTCTGCTGTAAAGGAGGGCTGAGCGCATTAGCATAGCTATGTAGGACTCCTACAATAGCATTATACTGGGATCAAGATAGTATTAACTGTCCCCCACCAGCATAAAAGATTGAAAAAGAAATTGCAGATAAGTTCTTATTTTTCTGAATGTTTATGTTCAGTCAGGAAACTTGCGACATGGGAGATAAGTCACATTTGCAAGACAGATTACCCTGATGGATATTTCTGATCTCTTTCCCTCTCCTTAGCAGCTGCACTTGACCTGTATGAGCGCTGCAATCACATCCTGGGACTAGGAAGCCTAGCAGCTTCTGTGAAAACACAAATCCACTGCACAGTCACTGCTGTGAGTTGCCGCCTGGGGTACAGAGAAACAAACCTATAAACTCTGCCAGATTCAGCAAGCACATAACCCCAGCTAACCTCTGTGCCGAACAAGGAATACAGCCCTCCGTGACCTCCGAATCTGGTTCATTGCAGAGTATCTGCCAAGAGGTCTCTTACTTTATGAAAGTTGTTTTTTGGGTCAGAGCACAGGGAGTATTTACATGACAAATCTCCCTTGGAGACTCAGAGCCTTGGAAGCTCTGAGTACAAAGCGAGTTGGTCAGTAGGCCTTTCTCGCTGTTTACCAGGGACATTTGGGCACAGGGACATACAAAGAAAAAGTCCCTTCAGAAGGCCTTGTCTTTGTGAAGAAATGCTTTTCAGACTGGTTGAGTACATGCTGTCATTAAAACACAGCACGTTACCTTTAAAAATAAGGAACGCTGTCCGGGGAAGGTCATCAAACCAGTGCTCACGATTTCGTTTTGCCTGGAAACGGAACAGCCTCGATCAGAGGAAGTCAGCGCTACATGCATACATGCATGTCTTTTAGATTGCCTTTGTTTCTCAACCCCTTTCTCACTAATCACCGGCCTCCTTTGCTTTCCCTCCCCTCCCACACACACTTCCCCTCTTCCCCACCCAACAAATACTTACCTTCCATTTTAAGCCAACAACTTCATAGAAATTGTAAAAATCCTTTAGGCTGCAAAATAGAAAGAAGCATCTGATTAGAACCTTAAAGTTGATTATATCCTTAATTGTCCTTGTCAAGTACAATCAGCTGAGAGTCCCTGGAAATTGTTAACTCCTTTTCAGAACTGCGACCACAGTGGAAAACTCAGCACCGAGCTCTTCCTGGCCTGGACAAAGGTTACTGGCTGGCAATGTCCTGAATAGAGTACAGAGGCCACTGTCTTTCTCTAACAGGCCCTAACAGAGATCGTTACCCCTCTGCCTCCAGACGAAATGCTGACTCCACTGAACTCCAGAGTTTTACCACAACAAGGAAAGACCTCAGGCTTAGATAGCAGCCTCCAAAGGACAGAGACCATACAATTCTCCATAAAGAAGTCTTGGACTGTCTTAATCACTCATATGGTCCTTTTCTACCATCTTTGCACGTTTGCTTTTAAAGGTAAAAATGAATTTTGAAGGAGGACATGAAAGCAAAGAATCCCGCATGCTCATAAAACATGAGTGACTGTATCTAGGTGCTTGGGGTCAGGCCTGTACCAGGTTTTAGGTGTCTGAAAATGAGAAGGCCGAAATTCTCAGACCGGGACTGGTGTCATTAGGTACCTAAATTTAAGAACTCAGTCTTTCTCCTTACGCCACGTTCACCATTGCTCCATGGCACTTGACTTTAAGCAGCAGCACTGGCCCCAGTTTCGTCGGAGACATTCACTCCAGGCCTGTCTGTGGCCAGAACAAAGGAGAGGGAAGAGCAGGCCTCTTGCTCCAATTCCCTCTGCTTCCCATGCTGGCTGGAGCTAGCTGCACCCACCCACCAGAATGGTACTTCTCTGCCTCATAACACAGAGGATGACAGTCTTGAAAGCACCAGCAGAACCAGATTTTAATTAACAAAACCCTGGGGGACACAGCCAGCTGCTGGAGAAACAAGAACTTGTTAAGCTGCGAGGCTGCACTGTGTGAAGAAATGCTCCTTGCAGGCTCTTCTTCCTCAATTTCCTGCTCCTCTCTTCTGACAGGAGAGGTGGGAAACCGAGGCTGCCTGGCGGCTGCCAGCAGAGCCTTGTATCCACAAGAGGGCACGCAGGAACTCCATCACTTCCGCAGAACAAGCTCAATTCTCAGGTCACCCCCACCACAAAGCTCCTTGCTTCCCCAGCACAAAGCCTTTCAAGCACAAAACTCTACTCCCATTCCAGACGAGATTCCTTCCATAAACCCAGCCATCCTCTCCAAGGTACAGCTCCGCTTCAGAGAGTGAAGCAGCATCCCTGCTCTGGGTGCAGCAGCAAGACCATCCTACCTGACTAAAGTAGTATTGCTTTGATTCAGTGCTTTGAAAGTGAGATACCGCTCTCTGGCACACATCCGAGGCTTGTAAAACCGCAACAGCCCTTCAAAGTGCTTGAAGGAAATTCCAGACGGCCTCTAGAAACAAGGGAATGATGCCATAAGCAGTGACATGAGGCAGAAGCACATATAGGCTAGAGTATTTAATTCTCACTCCGAATTTGTTTTAGGCAGGATTTCTACATCACCCTAAGATGCCATTATAACTAAGCCCCAAAAGTACCCTAAGCTATTACTTTAACATATTGAGTTTATCCCAGAGCACAGACATCAGAAAGCTTTCCTGGCAGAAGGTCCCTCCAACGAATGCAGGATTGCTCCCTGTTTTGCTATCCTGAGACAGTTGTCCAACCAGACACCCCAAGCAACACAGTTCAGCCACTCTCCTTGGGAAATTAGTAGGCAGCCTAACAGACTCCATTACTGGCACTTCTTTCAGACCATCAACTATTCCCCAGGAACAGTTCATAATGAATGCGCCCTAAACACGAGTTCATTTACTGGAAGAAGGTTAGTTATTCTCAGGCCTTATTTCTCTTCCTACTCCAGAAGTTAAATAAGAAACCAACCCTCTTCCCCAGTGCTCTGCCCCATAAAAAAAACGTGTCTGTAGGTGAATTACTTCTGCCTCTGCACCTTCTGCTCATGCAGTACCTAGTGACTGTACCTTCACATGTATAAGCCACACCTCCTCTAAGTACTGGTGTTTGAGATGTGAGTCCTCAAGTGACCCAAGCTGAAGCAGAGAGAAATCCAGGATCGCATGCACTGCAGGATAAGCTTCCTTCCTTTTATCAGAGCACTTCCATAGCCTCACATGGGGCTAAAACTTGGACTACTTTGTTTTTCTCCAGAAATAAATAAAAGCAAGTCACACAAATGAAAAAACAGTAGCCCTTGGTGATTATGATTGCAGTCAGACTGTCACAAATCATCTTTTGGAGGATATGCTCTCTGGACACTCCAGACTACTGGGGTTCTTACAGCATTGCAGGCCTCCCCTCCTGCTGCGCACCCCAGGCTGATCTCAGCCTCCCTGCAGGGCCTGTACCTGTTTGGTAATAAGCAAGCGGTAGGCGTGCTGTATGGCCGTGCGCTTGTGCAGCAGCAAGGACTTAAACTTCCTCTTTTCGATGTCATTGAAAGTGTCGAACACAACAGCCAGAAGCTGCAGAGAGAAGACAGGAGAGAAAGTCAAGCTTTGATCCTTACACTGTGTGGCCACTTGAGCCAATGCTGCTCAAGCAGGCAGGAATATCTAGTCTGGAGAAGCAAGGAGAGGCATCGCCTGAAGGAGGAATGTTACCAAGTGCTACACTAATGTGCAGCAGAAAGGCGTTAATGAGGGTCCATCGGCCCTAAGGGCACAAAGGGATTACCAACCACCCACCCACACAGATTCAGTTTTTTGAAGAGGTCCAGATATATCTGACCTCCTAACACTCATTAGTAGCTTTAAGAGCTAAGGCTAAGCTGCACACATGCCAACAAAATACAGCATGAAAAGGTTCGTTAAAATGCTCCGATCTCTTCCTAGAAAGCAGGCTTTAAGGGCTACTCTCTGGAGTCATCCTTCCAGAAAAGCTTTCCACCTCTAAACACATCAAAACTAAGCCTCCATCTAGGACAGCAGCACTGAAATCCCAACTCATTAGAAGCATGAAATCACTCCTCTTGGCCTGCAGAACTCCCCAGCTCTTTTGAGAACCCCTCTTTCACAACCCACATCCCACCTGAGCCGGTTTTGGCCCTGCCCAGGAGGCTGCAGGTCAAGAAGCAGAGCCAGCACAGCAGCCACGTGCTCACAGAGGACTGCTGCGGCCTCTCCGAGGCCATGACGTTCAGGGCAACGCTACTGCAATTACTCCAAAACCTCCTTGCACACCCCACTGGGCACCTGAACCATTAAGCTTTGCAGGGTGGCAGCTGTACTGCCAATTTTGTGTTAATACACAGACATCCACATAAAGCAAAGACAAAAGGAGAGTGTCCTATTTGCAAGCTCTGGCAAGGGAAGTGGAGACATACCACAGAGTTAATGCCAGGGCTATTGCAATTCAACTCCTGTCACGCTTAGCAATTCCATCCCTTTCAAACTGATTTGCAAAGGATTTCAGGCAAGCTCAGATAATAAAATGCCATTTCATGATAAATAATTAAGATAGGGAAGGACAATAAATTTCATGCAACAGGGTGTGTCACTCCAAGCAGCATATTAATGCAAGAGAAATCAAAAGATCATTTGCATCATTCTGTTTTCTGTGATTTAGTTCATGTCCTCAGGATGAACATTAAAAGGCTTCTATCTGTAGCGAAGCTGCCATTTCTAGTATTCTGCCAAAGGTTCTCAGACTGTTACACAGCCCCCTTGGGGATGGGGAAGACTCCGACGGGCAAGGAAATCCAAAGGGAGGCAGAGAAAAGTCAAGTGTTTTAATAAGGGACTCACCAAGTTCATAATGAAGTACAGCTCAATGGAGAGATACACTATGAAGAAGACACAGGACCAGGGGTTCCGGGCATAGGATGGCATCATCACATCAGGGAAACTGTATCCCAAAAAGACACAAGTTTAAGCACCCAAAGAGCTCATGCTATACTCTATAAACGTGGGCAAGAGCAAGAGACAGGTCCCAGGTGTGCGTGCACCCACATTAGTGGGTCTGCACGTTTCTCCAAAACATGTAGTTGCTTATGACACAGAAGTCTGAGCCTAGCAGTGAGCAGACAGAACGTGGAAGCATGACGAAAAAATAAAAATGAATAAGGAGGTTCCTTGCACATCCTGAAATCCAAATGGGCAAAGGGAATTTGCAACATGGCTAAGGGTTGTGCTTCAATAACAGCAATACATCACAGTAGCAATACAATTACATCAGTCCTTCGGGGTAAGAGAATTACAGAATGACAACCAAAGAGTTACTCTTGGTTAATTTTTCCAATTTCCTAACCCTCAGAGCTCTCTCTGACAGCTAACCAATATTTACTTAGTGGTGTTATCAACTTTTTCTAGATAGGAAAAGTGAAGCAGAGGAGTCGGAAGTTACTTCACAACAGCAAACTATCGCTGACAAAGAAGCACAAACAGAAACTTCCCCTGCTCGGGCCCAGGCCTAATAAAGTCATCTCGCCTCTTATTGCCAGCATAGCGATGAAGCGCTCTGAGCAGCTTAGAGAGAACTCTGCATCCGAGGTCAGTGTCCTAAAATTAAATGAAGTACCAGTTCTTCCCATGCAGGCTAACCCAGGCAATCTCTCTCTCATGCAGAGAAAAGAGGCCACATCTGGAGATCCAACACTGCTGCAAATAAACCCTTGATCCTGCTACACTTCTTTTGGGGGGAAAGGGAAAGACCAAGCTAGAACAAGCATGAACTTACTTTGAAGTGGTCAAAAGCACGAAGAGATTCACGAGGCTGTTCTCTAAGGTACTGAAGTACTGAAAGAAAAGAAACACCCACAAAAATGCAAGCTGCCTTTCATAGTTATTTTGTGCAAAAGAAGCCCACTAGAACACAGGCCCTTCTACAACTCCCTGATGTCTGCTAGAGAAAGGATAACTTGGCACTGGTCCTTTTTAGAGGCCTAAGAGATATGGCATGTGAAGAGTTAAAACGATTAAAAGCTCCTCTGCACATTTCTGTAGTAGTTACTCCCAGTAAGCAATAGACAGACTCAACAACAGTAGGAACTAGCACTTACTCGACTTCATGGGAGTCACAGCCTGAGAAGGCCAAGCTTTCATCCGGATACCTACTTCCCCTGGGGACAGCTGTGGGTGGCATGTTTGACTGAATTAAGACATTAAAAGCAAAGAACAGCTACACTGATGTACCCTTTGGGTGTTCCTGTCTTTGAGGAAGTCTCATTTACTGTCTTCCTTCCCAGCAGGTGTTAACCCAGGGTAACACTGTCAAGAGGCCTCCTCGGTCATGGCCCCTGCCCCTTTTCATTGCTGGCACCAGTTAGAATCCAGCCTCCTTGACCTTCCTATCGGAGCAACCTATGTCTACACAGAAACATTTGATTCTTAAACTGATCAAAATGGGACTGGAGTTTCAGTTCAAAGAATTACTTACAGGATCCGAGTGGTTAGGAGAAAACAAATAAAAACCTAGAGAAGCAAAAGAGGAGGAGGAGGAGGCAGAGAAGAGAAAAGAAAAGAAAGGGGGAAAGGAACACAAGTTAAAAAGGCATTTAATTTCAAATAACAAAGTGATAAGTCTCAGTTCCCAAAGAGCAGGTTGTACAAAGAACCATGAAGCCCCCTCTGATACCATGAGGAGGGAGGGTATGCGGAAGGCCCTCTCCATACAGATTCGCTAATACTTGTCATTGGCATTTGACTGATCCCTTCAGAAAATAAACTTTTTGCGAATAGTCTGAGGATGCGCCCATAGCAGGTACACTACAGACACTTGAGTGCGTAGGAGTTCAGACTGAACTTACTGAATTGAGGAATGGTTCATGGAAACAGAACTTGGAAACCACATCTATAAACACCACAAACTATCCTTTCACAAAAATCAAAGGGACCTTTGTCACAAAACCAAATTCCAGCTCCTAGAATGTTTAGTTCTTTCTTTAACTGTATCTGACTTCTTCCACAATTGTCTGAGAGATAAGTGGAAGAATCTGGCAGGACTCAATCTGATCAACTTTACGTTCATCCAGGTTCTTTCTTGTTGCTCTTAGACAATAACTGGTTGGGAGTATCACAGCTTCAACTTCCACAAGTACAACTCACCCAGGATGGCAAAGATCACCATGAAGAAAAGCAGGAGGAGGAGAATGTCAATAAACGGGGGAAGGGACTGGAAGATCTGTCGCAGGTTTCTGAAAAAGAAAAAAACATTCTTAAACAAGGGCTTGCGTGTGCTTTCATAGAGGAATGAAGCCTTCCCCTCCAAATGGAGGAAATAAAAACAAAGACATACAAAACAGATTTGAGAAGGACTTTCTTCCCCCTACTTCCAGTGTTTATATGGAGAAAACTCAGGCATTGTACCACACCATCCTTCCTGCTGCTGCAAGAAGGATGAAGCCTGTCTGCAAGATGAAGGTGGAGAGACTTCTCTCCCTTCTCCTCGGGGAAACTGCGGCAATGCAGTTCCTATCCCACGGGTTTTATTTCTATCCCAGCCTCTCATATGCCTTTTTATCCCACCTTAACAATGAAGGTGGATCGACTGATTAAGCTTTAGCCTCCGTAACTAGGGCAGCAAAATTCTATGTCTAAAAATCCAAATGCCACTAGTCCTAAAATCAACGGGGTCAAATGCATTCTGCAGAGCCTTGATCCTCACCACAGTGCTTCATGGCCCCAAGTAAATTAAGATCCTTTTCAAGCTATTATCTTCCCTTTGCAATCACCTCTCAGGTACAGCAAACAATACTGATGTCACCCCATCACTTTCCTTCTCCAGACTCAAGACATTAGTCTATAAATTGCAGTGGATCACAGAGGTAACTTCAGAGCCAGAAACAATGCAGCCATGTTCACGGGTTGTGCTCCCTGAGGTAGCTTACGCTGCTGAGGACAGTACCACACAAGTACTGAGTACTGTGGCACATCCAAAGCTACTACTTATGAAACTTCCCTACATAGGCAAGATGCTGGGTATGCTTCAGTCCCAATCACAAAACTTCTGACATCTGAAATGCACAGGAAAAATACTTATTTTCCCTAGCTGCCTGCAGAACCAGAGTGCTTTTCCTTCACTCTCCTCTCAGGCACGATTGCAGAAAACCCAGCCAGCCAACCACTCACCTTCTGACTGCACCACAGTAACGGCAGTCCACCAAGAAGATACAGCGCAGGGCTCTCGTTATCCGGACGTGTGAGGTTTGGCGCACCAACACCACAATAGCCTCTATGAACTGTACAAACAGCACGCTAGCCTGCAAATAAATAAATAAATAAAAGGGGTGGGAAGGTCTAAAGTCTCCATTTGGGAAAGACAAGGCTCTCACTGAGCGCTCACCTATTTGGGTGTTTTAAGAATAGGAGGTTACTCCCAGAGCTCAGAGACCTCCCATAAATAGCTTGGCAGTGGGGACACACACCTAAATTATCCCCATTACTGTACAGCCCAGTAGTTACTCCGGTTCTTTGATTCCTGAAGACGCTGAAGGAGAAACACTGACGATCAGGCAACTTACCTTCACCATGGTCCTTTTGTGTCTGATAAAAGTTTGGAAGCCCAGCCACCTCATCTTCATTGAGAGCTCAAAGACCACTACAATTAATGCAAACAGCTCCAGGGTTGCATGGACCTGTTACAACACAGCAAAGCTTAAGCTGGCCTTTCCGATTACAAACACAAGCACATCAGATTTCCACCCTTCCTTCTCCAAGAGGCACGTGGGTTTAACAACAATATGAGTATCGCTCCGCAGCATCCAGGAAACCCAAGGCTACCCTTAAGGCTAGCAGGGCACTCTCAGTTTTTCAAAGTTTCTGCATTTATTGCTTTGTGCTTTTATTAAAGCCTACAACATTTTTCTCTGCTCAGTATCTGTCCAGAATTTCCCAGAAATCCATGTTACCTTTTGAACTTGAATAACATATCAAAAAAATGTACTTTTTATTATGTTGTTTTGAATGTATCAAAGAGACAAGAGATCAGCAACTCAAATAGACATATTTTAAAAGTTTAAGACTGCAATTTTTTAGTCAATTGCAAAAACGAGAGTTACCGGGCAGAGAGGTTTTAAGTATAGAAGAGCCTTCTCTTGAAATAAAAGTCCTGGACACTAAAGACAGCCTCCTGATCAAGCCCAGGAACAGAATACAGCTTTTGGGGGTGCTGGAAAAGACCCCTTCTCTGTTGGAACACGCCAAATGCCTCACAAAGAGGAGGACAGAGTATTTCCTTTCAACTTCAGCTTTAGCCACAGCTCAAAGCTTAAATTCAGTTATTCAGCCCTGACTCATTTTGAGGAACACTTGACCCCAAGGATGTACAACTCTTCTACAGCCCCTGGCCGCGTCTTAGGGTACCATTAACAGCTCCCAGAGCCGATATAGATTCTCCCACCAGCAACAACAGCTCCGTATCTGACAGTGGCACATTATGAAATGGGAGCGGACTGATATGTGTATTACAGTTTGGGTGCCCCTTCTCTAAATCTGCATTTTGTAAAGATTAGACATGAAATTTCAAGTTACTTTAACACACACATACATTAAAGGAATTCCTCACAACCCTGTGTCATTCTGAGCAGAGGACACAAGAAGGTTTAGCAACTTGGCCGAAAAGCCAAGCAGCAAACTGTTTGCATTCTGGGAACCAGTGGTGGTGCTGGGGTAACAGCACCAGCTGTGACAATGACTTTAAAACCACTCCTTCAAAGCACATGGATTGCCGAGTTATCTCAAGCAAAAGCAAAACCAAACACTCTTCTCAAACACTGAAGAAACTTAAGAACTACACACATTTGGTAAAACAAAGTAAATGTCACTTTCACTGTTGGTCTACATGCACATCAGATGAAAAAGAAAGGACGTTTTGCTGGCTAGCCAAGTAACATATCTTGCTCTCAAGCCAGATGGTTCTTCCTAATACTGCTTACCCTCTTTCTCTATGCTTAGCCTTCTTTTTCCCCTCACCCACCCCTGAAAAACAGGCAGACTTCTTCATTTCGCCCCAAGCACTTACATAGATGCCAAGACGGAGCATAGGAACAGCTGGCGCCTCGCAGAGAGACAGCAACAGGAGAAGCAGTGCTGTGCTCAGTTCCATTAGGTAGAAAAGGTGATTATGTGCAAAGAGGTAGGCAGCAAGTGCTTTGGCATTCTTGGGGTGAGTGAAGAACTTATCATTGTTTTCTCCTTCCTAGGGCGGCAGGAAGAAAGAAGAAGAGAACAGCATTACTCACTCTTGGTAGTCTAACAGAGCTTTCCACCTGAACATCACGCAGGCTCCTATAGGATTGGATACAATTCCCAGCAGACTATTCCTGCTTTACAGCCTGACGGTGATCTGTTCATTGAAGAATTCTACACACGTGGGATATCCCCTTCTGTTCATAAGTAAGTGCATTTCAGTAATGCATCTCATTAATATCTACAGCCTCCAGCTTCAGAAACCCTTGAGTCTTTTCAAAACAAGGGAGAGTGCTGAAAGAGTACAAAGGGAAGAAAAGAAACTTCAGTTAACACCTCAACACAAACACAGCGCTTCATTTAGTTCCAGTCACTTCCACGTGTTTATAGACATCCTTGGTTAAACTGCTCTAGGACAGAACTTGAAAACACACAGATAAGCTCTAAGGCACCTGGCTGACAGTTGCTCCCCCTTATCTTGGCCTTGCAAAACGTCTGGGAGAGAACCTGCTCTGGAGCACACGCACAATGAAAGAACGTGAGAAAATGGACTGCGTGAAAAATTATCAAGTGTCCATGCTGATTAGTCATTCCCCCTTAACTAGAAAGCTTAATTAATATTAAAAGGTCAGATACTCCAGCTCAACCGTTTGCTTACAACTGATTTTAAAACAGCTGCATCATTACTATTTTTACCTCTAGGACAAAGCTTAGTTCGGTTTAAAAGCTTGCATGAGAATTTAAACAAGGTTGAGAAGCTTATGTGAGAATTTAAACAAGATTTTTCATGCAGAACCATCCAACAGCTTCTTCTCTTTCTTGCTCCGATAGCTTAAGCAAGGTAGCTTTTGTCACTCACAGAAAACGTGTTGGTTCTTGGAAGCTGTCATAAGAGATCATTTTTCCCCAGCTGAGACATTCAGATGCACATCAAATGCTTTTTTATTAACATCTTTCCAGGCAAGCAACCACTGTAGGGACAGTAAACTATTACTATAAAAGAGGAAAAATTGTGATTGCAAATGGACAGCAAGATCAGGAAACAGGATCCCCATTAAGAAGTGAAGAAGTCTCAAGACTAACACAGAAGAGAGTTTCAAATGTTTCTCATTTAAGTCATCTCAGAGGCAAGCTCACATTCTGTTTAAAAACAAACATAAGCACTGTCCGGACAGTGAGCCAGACTGCAAGCAGGACAAAACCCAGCAGCGAGCTCCATAAAATACAAGCCCCCCTACTCAAACAGAGAGCTAGCTTCGATCAGCAGGGCATTCTTATTCACGCCTGACAAAACACGTTTGCAGAATGAAAAATAGTTTAAATTCTGCCTCTTGGTAACCAAGCAATTCAAAACGTGGCTGGACAGCAAAGTCCTCTTATTTAGATAAGATGCTCTTGCCTGCAGCTACTGGTTCAAATAAACAATCTGCATGCTCTTTAAGTTATGTCTACTTTATTTCAAGGACATTGTCATTACGACCACTGGTCAAGGCAGCAGCAAGACTAATCTGCATCTGAAGGGCCAAGCCTGCTGAGTACATTACCACACACTGCAGCAACTCAATGAACCTTTACAGAGCATCTCCAATAATCAGGAGTTTAAACAAAAGCCCAGGAGGGGCTGGGGTCACCATTATACCGTCAGTGCTGCTCTAGCACACAACTAAGAGAGCTGAAGTTATTACCAAGGTCCAAGCCTACCAGGGTTTAAAATGTCAGAGGAGCATCAGTCTTGTGGGGTAGGGGAAGGGAGGAAAGAACGGTTTCAATCACCTTGCAGCGGCTTAGACAACAACCCTGACTGGGTCCAGCTCACCTCATGCTGCACCGCAGAGCCTTTGAAAGGGAATAAAGAGAAGGAGGAACGACAGTCAGGGAACCAGCAACAATTTCAGACAGCCAGCTCTAGGAGAAGCTCAGTTTTGGTAGCTAATTCATCGCACCAAAGTTGTTCAGCAATCTTCGCAAAAATGTTATAAAACTTTACTGATGTACGTACATAGAGTTTTTTTTTTTGGTTGGTTGGTTTTGTTTGTTTTTAAACAGAAGACAGCTACGTTCCACTTCTGAGCTGCTCAGGTCTAATCATGGCATGCACTCTTCCTCTAGAAATCAGAAGCTCCAACTTCTCTTACATTTCTTGCACGGCCTAGAAGGCTTGACTGAAGCTAAACGAACGTCCCAGGGCCACGCACCAAATCTGCGGCCAAGACAGGATTAGAACCCGCACTTCTGGAGCACAACACGCCTCCCAGAGCCCTGACCCTGCACCCCAGAGCAACTGAGGAGGTGAAATGAAAAAATCAATGACAGTTTATGCAGATCCTCATGGCAGAGTGGCAGAACTGAACACGTCCGGAATCTCTCAACCAGTACAGTCCCGGCACTGGCAGAGATGGGGGGAGGAAGGGTGAACGACTGGTAGCACCAGCCTTTTCTATTACTCCCCGCAAATGACTTGCCAGAGCTCATCTGGAGGCACTTCCAGCATCTCCCTGCTCTTTGAGAGGATTCCTTTGCAAAGTACCACTTTTCCAACCTCAGAACCGTAGCTCTTTGTTTTTCATATTCAAGAACACAATTTCAGTTCGTTTTCACATAATACACCAAACACCCAGGCTCACCTGGAGGTAGATTGCTGCCTCTTGGTAGTTCATTTCCCAGTTGTGCTGGGCAGAGCTTTGCTGCGCACAGCAGTCCCCTGCAGCAGGGCTGGATGCATCATTAACGACGTCGTAGCTACCTCCATCTGCATCGGTACAAGAAGAGAAAATTTGATTTACAATTAAGCAAACTGAGACTGATCAGGGAGTACGCAAATGAGCCAGACAGGAGGACCAGAGACAAGCATCAAGAGGTGGCAGAGCACCCAAGAAACCAACAGTTTGTGCACAGACTAACTATCTCTGCACACGTAGAAGCTTTTCAGAGACACCCTCAAACCAAGCACTTTGACGCAGGAACGCTCCCAGAATATCATCAAAAGAGCCAGAATCCCATTTAATAAAATAAGCAGGTCTCCTGACTCAGGAGCTCTGTGCTGTCACATTCACAGCGTACTCTCCGCAGACAAACTACAAACAGGCAGCTAACAGTCGAACGTCTCCAAGGGCATCCAACCCACAAAATAAAAGTGAGGTTGCCAAAAAACATCACCTTTTTGCATTGAATGGTAGAGGACAGCATGGAAGAACAGAGTATAGCCTCCAACCAACAGGTAAGGGGAATCCGTTTAAGTACAGAAGCTGTAGAGTATTAGTAGTAGAAGTACAGTATTTTCAGTAGAAAGTGTGATTTTTCAGACCTCTCCAGTCATTAAACTGCATCTTTGCAGAACTTTTTTTGGTACAGGTAACTACTAATATTCCTCTGATGAAAATAAACAGCAAGATTAATTCTCTGCCAAATCCCACAGGTTTATTTTGAAACTTCTAAGAACATAGCGTGTCTTTTTTTCATCTCAGTAAAAATGCTTTATTGAACATAGGTACAAGATTTCATAACTAAGAACCCCGTTTAAAAGAACATCCAGTTTGCACTGCGGAAAAAAGAAAAAAACTCTCCCAAACATAGTTACACAAACATAATGCCCTTCCCCATGGGAAAGGTACGTAGAACATGTATATAAACTAGGTTTTTTATTCTACAGCTTCAGTGCAATAGAAGACACATCGAACACATGAAAAATATTATTGTTCAAAAAGAAATAGAGGGATTGTCATTTGGTTTCTTACTCTGGAATGGCATTTTTTAATTTGCATCTCTGATGGGAGAAAAAAAACACTAAACAGAGACCTCACAGAAATTATTAGTACAACACTGCCTACAGGATCCGCTACTGAGCGGTTCTCAGAAGTGAGACCTGCTCAGGGCCACGCACGACACCCGTGGCGGAGCCGGCCAAGCACCCACCTCTCCGGAGTTTCAGTCAGTACCCAAACCACCCGGTTATTCTCACTCTCAGGCTGAGACTTCCTCCCTCCAGTGCCCCGTGTTCCCAAAGAGGGTACGTGTAAAATTGGTTTTTGCCAACCTCAAAGTGTTGATTTCCTTCTTTTTAGGAACACGGAAGCTGCGGTGCAGCACTTTGCTTTCCCTGAGTTGTGAGAAGTTATCTGAGAGTGGGAAAATTGTACAGTGAGACTCTTCTCCGCACACCGATAGCATGTGGCAGATTTGCTGAGGCGTTTTGCTGTGACAAAATAATTCTCACTGAATGGCTGGCCCAGTTTTGCCAGCACACCTTCAGGAGCGGTGAGAGAATCCACACCAAAAATCCTGCACCTATCAAAAGAAATGTTACTGCACGTACCTTCAAAGAGCCACGGGAAGGGATCAAAAATCCCTCGACCAATGCAGAGCCACAGCTGCCTTTTGCACCCATAAGCAAATTAAGACAACACTTAGCATCTGAGATTTGCAAAGACTTCCTAGATTGCATACCTAGATTGCTGAGCGTGCTGCAGCAGCAAGGCTCTTTCTCCTCCTGGCCTTCCCCAGCCCTTTACAACACCACTCAACATCTGGACGAATGTTTGAGTGAGGCCAGTTCCTTCCCCCGCTCCATCTAAGCCTTGAACGAGCACAGTTCTTGAGAAAACTGAATGTCGGAGCTTTTTATTTAGCCACAGAACTGGAATGGCAGTCTTTTGGGTTTGTTTCCCTTTTAACTAGAAGATGACAATAGTAGGTAAAAATCAGACTCCTTACATTGTGAGCACTTTGATTTTTTTTTTTTAAAGTTATTTACAAAGCTCTTACTGCATATGTTTCAAAGAGACAAACTCCCTCAAATTGCAGCCTGACAGCACAACCCTTTTTGCATTTAATGCTTAACAGAGCCGCAGAAGGAACACAGCTTCATCCGAATCCACCAATCTCCCTGTTAATGATCTTTACTGCCCCAAAAATGCATATTTTTGAATCCTCATTCCCACCCTAACAGGCTGTTTGCTACCAGATAAAACACCCTGCAGCCCCGCTCTGCCTGCCTTGATCTCCGCAGGACTTTGAGCAGGCTCAGAGCAGAGGCGGAGCACAAGGTAGCCTCAAGCCTCCTGGATACGTTAGCTGTTTTGGGGAAGAGGGACATATTTACTAGGTTACTTAAAATATTACCATGTTAGTGGACCTTTGCAATACTTACAAAATTTAAGGGCAGCAGAACATATTCTGGAGAAATCAAAGGTTTGTAGCCTTAAACAAAAAACACTTTGTCCTACCAAAAAAAGCCAAAACTTCCTTTAACTCCGAAGCAATTCTTTTACAAAGACAAATTCATCTTTGAAAGGGATCAGATGAACACTAGGAAACGACACACCACAATTGAAGAGGGGGGAGGGGAAAAAAAAAAAAAGCCATCTCTCTACTTTTCCTACACAGGACACTCACTGCTACACAGAAGAGATGTCCCAGTGACATCAAGTGTGCAAATACAAAACAGCTCTCAAAGAAGCAACTCAGAAGCAAAGATTAACCCTAGAAACCAAGATGTTTTCCTCCTGCCTAAGCCAGGCATCATCTTCCTAGGCACCGACAGAACAGAAAACGTATTGGCGAAGCGTTTCCTTGCAGAGTTGCATTTTGTGGATCAACTCCCTCCCCATCAGGTACCAGAAGGTTGATCTAGCATCCTTGAGGCAACAGCATCATCTGGGTAATAAATAATAATAAAAATAATAACAAATCTGAAAAGCAACTCGCTGTTTGTTTGGCAGCCCTCCAGCTAGCTAATTTCCTCAGCTGCTCCCATGATAACGATGACACAGACTAATGCAACCTCAGCTCCGGTCGGCTCGCGCTGCAGAACTTCCCCAGCGGCATTTACCATTAGTATCTAGCTCAATGAGATAGGAGGATCTCTCCACGGGGCTCCCGCGATCCTCCAAGTAGATGGCAGGCGGCTCTGCCCCCCGCATGGCAGCCTGGGCGCCGGGAAGCGGAGCCGGACACGCCGCGCGCGCGGAGCCGGGGAGAGGGAGGCAAGTCAGAAGCGAAGTTCCTCTCTCCCTCCCCTCTGCAAGCTGATCCTCCACGCCGCAGCTTACTCGAGCGAAAAATCGCGCACAAAAGGTTTTCCTCCGCTCTCTGCAGAACTAACCGTGTTTTCCCCTCCCCTCTGAGGAAGGTAGCTCAGACTTCAGTTAAATTGTTTCCCTATCGCTTTCTTAGAGGCAGGGTATTTCTAAGTTGGAGTTATTCGAAGGCTTAGTTGCTGGACAAAGCGCTTTTAAGAACGAGCATGGTTGTAAAACACGGGTTTCACTTTGCCACGCTCTCTTATTTTGGCGTATGCAGGAATCGCTCGACATGAACAGCTAACGGGAAAGGAGGCCAAGTGCTGACTAGTCATACCAAGAAGTCTCCTCCACCTCCCTCGACAAAGAAATAAAATAGATATTTGTGAAGTTCATGGTACAAAGGGCGCGATGAAGTAAACGAGCCGAGCTGCTCGCAGATGGCAAAGCTTCCTTCCACGCTCGGCTAACTTATCCCAGACGCTCCCTGAAAAGAGAGAGAAGGAAGAAAAAATATATATAAAAAATAAAGGAAAAGCAAAACCAGCTGGCTGCTTACACAAGGCATCCGGAACGATACTGCCGGGACTCCAACACTTCCATTCAGTGCAGCAGAGCATGCTCCTGTGTAAATAGTTTCCATATGTCATCATTACAATAAAAAACAACAACAACAACAAAAGAAGAAAAAGAAAAAAGGAGGAGCATAAACTTTCCAGAGCCCAAACATCCCCCTCTGCAAAACAAGTTCCCCGCCTGAACGAAGGCAAAACTCTCAGCGGGCTGAGAGAGCAAACCCACTCCTCTCGTTCGGAGGAGAGGTGGGCTGCTCCCACCGCCGACCTAGAAGATGGAGCCAGGAAGGAAAAAAGGGACAGAAAAACATCCATGGGAACCAAGAAAAATTTAGCCTTCCCAGTTAGGCTATTTTATGCCCAACTGTAGTCAATTTGGAAATGGATGCCGTCTCATTTTTCTGATCTTTGGTGTCTGCCTTTGTTTTAATTAAAAAAAAAAATCCAACAAATTAGTAACCTACTACAAATACAAAGAGTTATAAACAAACTCTACAGGGTAGCTCTTACATTCGCCTCAGAGCTCCCCCAATCTGGCTCTCATTAGCCTGTTTCCCAGATGTTCTGCTTTCTAGATGGTACACACTTTTTATGGTGTTAAATTGAAACAGCCTTAGATGCCTCTAATTAGCTCCTCCACCGACTCCTGCCTTGGCTGGGAGTTAACAAACGCTCCAAAGCCACGTGCCTTTACCAAGCTTTCTCCAATAAAGGCTGAGAAAGAGCTTGATGGAGCTGCTAGTTGCCGTCCTGTCCAAATAATGTTATTGTAATATATATACTTGCAAGGACAGAACTCCCCAAGCTGGGTGAAAGCAGGGCAACCAACCTAATTCAGCAAACATGCTCTCATCTGGCATTCATTCTAGTTACATATCATATGGAGACTTAATGCAATACAACAAAATGAAAGTCATGAGCCTAATGAGTTGCGTATGCCTGTGTATTTTTCCTGATACATGAATAAAGAAATGCAGAGGGCATGCAATTAAGGAGACAGGACACATTTCTGTTTCACGTTGCCTTATGAGGTCCTTGCAAGCGGACGCACCAAACGGAGCAGCAATAGCTAAGAGAAAAGCAAAGAAAGCATCACCTCCTGAAGTAGGGAA